TAAATAAATAAAATTTTTAATTATCATTTATTTATTATATAAAATCATCAAATTAAATTACATATAAAAATTAAACTAAAACAATTAAATTTGAGTACAGAAGAAATAAAACAAATAATTAAAGTTAAAAAAAATAAGGAAACGTACAATGACTTGTCTTTGTCTGTCTTTGTCAAGAGAACAGACAAAGAGAAGTTACCACCTTAACCAAACATACTAAATTAGCCCTAAAAAATCCAGTTAAGGAGAAGGCAATTGTAAAAGTTTCCCACCTTAACCAAATATGGTCTTGAAGTTATTTTAATACGAAGATTTTTTTTTTTTTAAAGCATTAAGTGCACCTTAAGGGACTATAACAGAAAAAACCGTTGTAGTAGAATCCAAAACACACTGCAAAAACCCAGTGATGAGAGAGAATGAAAGGTGGCAAACCATGCTCTTCCAGTAAATCAATAAAATCACGGGGAGGACCATCTTCTGGATGCATTTCTATATGTTTTTGCTTCAAGGTACTCCAAGCAGTTTTGGCGGAAGTGTTTTTCCTAATTTCACCAAATTTTTTTAGTGTACATGAAATTTGAATTGCATGCAGAGCGGCTGCATCCTTTTTAATCCACTCCTTTGTATCAACTTCAGCTGGCGCCCAACTGTATAGAACAGCATCCCAAAGATCTTGAGAAACTAAATAGCTTTTCATACAGATGCTCCATCTCTGATAATTGTCACTTGCTAGAAGTTCTGGGACAAGGATAGTCATACTCGCAGAATTAATCTAACCACATATATCAACAAATTAGTATCAGAATGACAAGCAGCCAGTTTGAAAGCCAAATATCCCGAAAGAAGGGGGGAGCACAAAAGGAAAAAAAATGCTAATCTTGCCTTCCGAGTTTCTTCTTCTTCTTCTTCTTCTTCATGATGTTCTGATGTGAGATGAATTAGATCAATTAAAGTAGCCTTAACTAATTCCATGATTTAAAAGTTAGAAATTGAATTTTACACATAAAAATAGTACCGAGCAAAAGATTATAGAATTGCACGCAAAGGAAATTCAATGTCTTTCGCCATATTCTTTTAAACAAAATGCAATCTAAAACACCTGACGTCATAAGAGAGAGATGTGGCAAACCTGAATTATCGGTTTTTGATTTCTCTTCTTCAATATTTGTTCTTTTCAACTCATACCAAGCTTCAATTGCCCCACACATCTTCTTTATCTGATTAAATTTTTCTGCTCCACATGAAATCTGAATTGCATGCAGAGCGGCAGCATTCTTTTTTCTCCACTCCTTTTTCGAAACTCCAACAGACGTTGACAAGTGGTGAGTAACCACCCAAAGATCTTGTGAAACTAAGTAGTTTTTCATGAAGATACTCCACCTCTCATAGTTGCCTCTGTCTAGAAGTTCAGGGACAATCGTACTTGCCACCCAAAGCGGAGGATTGCTTGCCTTTGGAGTGCTTTCATCAGTTTCAGGTTCTGTTTTATGCATTTCGGCTAACATATCCAAAGCATCTTTTGCTGAACGGGTATACTTTAAACGAACAAAGCTTTCTGGTCCGCATGAAATCTTAATGGCATTCAGAGCAGCAGCATTCCTTTTTCTTCGCTCAGATTCGCTAAACAACTGTTGATCGGCGCTGAATGGAACAATAATTCCATCCCAAAGCTCTTGCGAAATCAAATGGTCTTCCATGAAAATGCTCCAGCTCTTATAATTGCCCCTTTTTAGAAGTTGAGGGACAATCAAAGTCGCAGTACTAGTATTTGTCATTGCCATAACGTGGATGATCTAACAAACAAACAATATATAGTTATATACAGCAAATTAATATAAATCATGAGAATGACAGAGAATAAAAGATCGATGGGTACAATTTTGGTATAGTAAAAAATGTTTACCAACTGAAAAATTAAGTTAAAAATATTTTAAATTTGAGCAAAATGAACTTTATTTACCAAAATGAAGTATATTATTTTAAAAAATAAAACTAAGAAACCATGTATGATCATCGTTTAGGCTACTGCATGCATATACCCCGATCAAACTGAAACTTTAGTAGCTAGCAGAGACTATTAGAGAACTTAATGTACTAGGTAGTAATCACAACAGATTAAACTAAGCTGCTTATAAACTCATACAAAGAATCAAAGGAGGAGAAATCTTTAATTAAGGTAACCTTACTTTAATTCCTCAGCTTCTTTGCGCTGCTCGATGCAGATAGTCAGGGATCTAGCAAAGAAGAGAATTAGAAGAAAAATATAAGAAAACAAACATGAACTCAAAGAGAATAATCTTATTTAGTGTGCTTCCAGATACCAAGATTGGCCAACGAGATGACTCCTCCTCACTTACCTCCGAGTCCACCTGCAAGGTCAACTCATCAAACGACTCAGTCAACTCACCTATGAATTTAAGACATGAACTGAAGTAGCAGCATCCCTCAAAATGGAAGAGATGAAGAGGACTGAGGCGAGCTGTCTGATTAAATAAAGGGTCGTTGGTACCCAAAAGTCGGTAGAGCAATAAAAAAAAATTAAAAAAAAACAAAAAGGAGAAAAAAGGGGAAATAATAAAAATTTTTAAATTTAAAAAATTTCAAATACTTTATAACCTATAAATTCTTATCGGTGAATGGGAAAGGAAAAGTATTACTTGCCTTTGGCTACTGACAGGAGTTTTAATTTAATTTTTTAATAAAAAATTATTTTATAATTTAAATTATATTAAATTATAAAATAATAACTCTTAAATAAAAAAAAAACTCTTTGATATTAACTTCTCTTCTCTTAATTT